CCCATGTCCCCCATCCCCACCCCACTGGCCCCTCACCTGTCCGGCTGAGCCCAGGTCCCTCGGCTTTGACCTTGGTGGCGTCATGGGATGGGTCCACCTTGATGCGGAAGGGGCTGGAGGGGATCTCCTGCGGATCAAAACCAGGGCACGGTGACATGGGGGCACCACAGAGTTAAAGCCCCAGCCCCACCTGGCCGCTGGGGACACCCCACAGAGCGGGGGATGGACCCTTGGGGACGTGGGGCAGTCCCAGAACCCTGACCTGGTTGGCAAAGAGCACCATGATGGTGTAGAGCCCTGCACCCGGCGCTGTGTACTTGACCGTGAAGGTGTCATTGTCATTCTTAATGATGTCAAAGTCGATGTCAGCCTCGAGCGGCCCCACCACTCCTGGGGCGCACTTGATGCCAATGCTGACGTCACCTGTGGGGGTGGCTGTGTCAGTGGCCCCCATTCCCCACGGCTACACTGAGGGGTGGCACATGGGGCAGGGGGCTGGATAAGGACTGGAAATGATGGACAGGATCAGGGTTGATGGACCAAGATCAGAGATAATGGACCAGGGATGGGATGCAGGAATAGGGATGCAGGCCCAGGAATCCTGGACCAGGAGCAGGGATGCAGGATCAGGGATTTTGGACCAGGGATGTAAGACCAGGACCAGAACTGATGGGCCCAGAATGAAAGACCCTTGATCCAGGGATGATGAGCAGGACTGGTGGTAATGGTCCAGGACCCGGGGTGCAGGAGCAGGGGTGATGGCCCAGGGACACAGGCCTCATGCCCACAGAGGAGTTCCCAGGCTGCCCCCCACCACAGCACCCACCCTGTCCAGCCTCACTGCAGTCCACGGTGAAGTAGGTGGGCTCGTTGGCCTTCAGCCCTGTCTTCTCCACACCTGGCCCATGCACCTTCACCCTGCTGGGGTGGCTGCCCTCGCCCACGCTCACCTGCGGGCCCACAGTGTCAGGTGGGGCAGGGGCATGGACCCCTCTTTCCCCGGCACCCCATGGGACTGGGACCTCCAACCCTGCCACTGGCACCCCGCCTCCATCCAACCGCTCCAAAGACTCCCATCCCCAGCACTTCATGGGACCCGCAACCCTACCCCAGCACCCTATAGGTCTGGGACCTCCATGTCCACATCCAGCACCCCATGGGACCCCCATCTCCCTCCACATCACCCCATGGGCCCCACATCTCCCTCCACATCACCCCATGGGCCCCACATCTCCCTCCACATCACCCCATGGGCCCTCACCCCATGGGCCCCACATCTCCCTCCACATCACCCCATGGGCCCACAGCCCTACCCAGGCCCCCATCCCCATGGGACTCCCATGCCCCACATCTGTCTTAACATCCTCCATGATTAACACCCCCTCCCTGCACCTCCTGGGACCTCCCCATGGCCACCCCAGCACCCCATGGGCCCCCTGTGACACCCACACGGAAGGGGCTGTTGGGGGTGTTGACACCCCCCCAGGCGACGATGATTGTGTGCTTCATGGCTTTGGTGGGGACGTAGACACAGTGGAAGGTGCCATCACCATTGTCCTTCACCTTAATGTCAATAGGGAAGCCCTCGGCGTCCTGTGAGCAGCAGAGGGAGGTGAGGGAGCCGTGTGGCACTCAGTGCTGGCCAATGGCACCCAACAGCACCCAGTGGCACTAAGTGTCAGCCAGTGGCACCCAATGGCACTCAGTGCTGGCCAATGGCACCCAATGACACTCAGTGTTGGCCAATGGCACCCAATGGCACTCAGTACTGGCCAATGGCACCCAATGACACTCAGTGCTGGCCAATGGCACCCAATGACACTCAGTGTTGGCCAATGGCACCCAATGGCACTCAGTACTGGCCAATAGCACCCAATGACACTCAGTACTGGCCAATGGCACCCAATGGCACTCAGTACTGGCCAATGGCACCCAAGGACACTCAGTGTTGGCCAATGGCACCTAACAGTGACTAACGGTGCCCAGCAGCACCCAGCAGTGCTCAAGGGCAGCCAATGGTGCCCAGCAACACTAAATGGAGCCCAGCAGTGTTTGACTGTACTCAAAGGTGCTCAGCACCGCCCAAGGTCACCCACCAGCACCCAGCACCACCCAACAGCCCCCTACAGTTCCCACCTGTGCATAGAGCTTGAGGGGCCCCTTGCCAGCACCACGGGCGTCGATGGTGAACTCGGCCGGGCGATCCACAATGCAGCCAGTGGGCTCCAGCCCTGGCCCAAAGGCCTTCACCTGTGGAGAGGCGGGGTTAGAAGGATACAACGGGGTGCTGGCACCCCCAGCACCCACAGGTGGGACGCGATGGGGTGTAATGGGGCACAGCAGGGCACTATGGAGCACAAGAGCACAACAGGATCTGTGGGTTGTCGTGGGTCACAGCACCTTGTCGGGCCAGGAGTCAGGGGGAGCGGGGCGGATATCAGCCATGAAAGGGCTGTCCCGGATGTCCTCATCATCACAGACCACGTGCACAGCGTAGAGCCCTGGCTCGGTGGGCCAGTACCGCACATCGCACGAGCCGTCGCCCTTGTCATCGCACTCGATGCGCGCCTGGGATGGGCCCTCGATGGAGAACCCTGGGGGCACCGCAGCCACCATTACCCTGTGCCTGGGCCAGGACCCCCAGATCCTGTCCTTGTCCCCCGCTCTGTGCCCATGACCCCAGCAGGGTGACACCTAACATGTCTTTATGTCCCCCCCAGAAAGGCATCCAGACCATTCTCCCCATCTCTGTGACCATGTCTCCAGACTGGCACCACCCATGCCC